ATGTCTATACAGACTTTACACTTGCGAGGAGACAGAAACAGCTAATAAGTATGCTATATACTATTTAGGTGACAGTAGGTGTGATGGAAAACAAACAAAAATAAACAGAAAGAGAAAGTGGTAGTCTGGGATGTTACTGTATAGCTTCCAGAACCATACGAGAGTCAGAGCCAGGGGATAAGGGGTGCCCGGTGGTCCTAGGCTTCTGGTGGGGCCTGAGATAAGGAGGAATTAATTAGTATTAAGTGACACAAAGCCAGAGGGTGAGACTGAGTCTGTGACTTTTGGCCCAGGAGGTATTAGGATCTTTTCAGAAACACCCAAATGTCTAGGTTCCTTCTTTACCTGTAACAAGGGACATAGAGGCCCAAGAAAGTTTGCTCTTATGTGTAAGAAAGTGGCTCTGGGGATCTGTGCCAGAGGGATGAATCTGCTAGAAACTTACTCTGGGCCTCTGAAGCTCCTGAGGAAGAGACGTGATACTGTCTGGCATATTCTCAAGGTTCATTTTGACCAAGTCCTTTTGAAGGATTTCAAATTCAAAGTTAAAAAACATCATTTACGTTGAGATTTTGCCTTTGTTTTGTCTGACTGTGCAAGGTTTACACCAGTTTGTGAAGGAGACAGTTGGTTTTGGGCTGCCACTGCTCTGAAATGCTTGAGAATTGACAGGCGATGCTGATGTTAGGGAAGCAGTGAAAGGAGCTTCTCAATGCACACACACAAGAAAGGAGGTTTGGAGGAGCAACTTACTACCTTAACTTAAGCATGCATTGTCAGCAGTGGCCTGCTGGTCTTGGGTGCTTCTGAGAACTAAATGTATGTTTGTGTGAGGAAGAACTCATGGGCATTATGGACAGCTGTCAGGGAGCGATGGTTCTACCATCCTTACACCAAACAGCAGGCTGTACCCTCAGAGAGGCTATTGTGTGGTCAATGGCTAGAGCCTCCCTAGAAGCATGAAGCTATTTCTAGGAGTTCAAGAATTTTGACAAGAATGAATGCCTTGGCTTCCCTGTCTTCCTAGCCCACTTAATTACTCCTAGAATCAACTACAACACCCAAGGTGCATGTTAGTGACCCCAATGGACCATTTTACTGTCATCCATAGTTCACAAAGGTGGTTATTAGCCATTACTATAATCCTATAAGTCAGCAATATTCTCTAATAACATAGTTGGAGAGGCTCAAGAATAAGACAGAAGGTGGGATTAAGAGTAGAAACTCAGGACCATTTCTGGGAGATGCATCAAACACTCTGCTTCAATACTGTTTTTGACCCTGGTTATCTTTGTGGTTTTGTGAATATTTAGGAGCGAGACATTCAGTGCATGTATGTTCAATACTCTTCTTCCTGGCTTTCAGGTACCCTGTGAGGTGATGCTCTAAGCTTTAAAGTACTAGATTGTGCTCCAGAGAGTGAGTGCGACTTCATACTGTACCTGTTCTTGAGGGAGGATGTGTGTGCTTTGTGAGAGGACCTGACTCAACGTTCCAGTACTTAGAGAAAAAATTTGTCCCAATCATTTTCCATATGTTGGGGGGAATCATGGAGAGAATCAAATTTTTGCACTGTTGGCCTTTCTCCTTACATTTTCTGAAAGAAATGTAGCTGGGTACCCTTTACAATTAAAGAAAAGACATTAGCAGGAAACAAATGTGGCATTAATTTTCATTGTGTCAACATCATAAAATCATGTTTCTGAAATCTAATTTGCTCATGAATTAAGAGGGAATCCTGTTGGTTTAAGACAACTTAAATATAAATTTTTCCTTTGATATTTTGGAGGATGCTTTATGAAAGCAATTGGAAATTATTGTTTGTGGCTCATTAAAATAGCTATTTATAATGACTCTGTTTTGACATCTACTTTATACAAATATGATAATTCTGACCTTCGATTACAGAGTCAATAAAATGCAGACTTTGAACCTGCCTTTCATAAGATGTGCATTCATCATGATCCATTTCAAGAGTTCTCTGGCAAATAGATATGTGCAGTTGTCAAATGTTTTCATCTCCAGTGTGTTTTAAGTCTTTTTCACTTGTTACTAATTGTTCTACCTAAGAGGAAGTGAGAATATATCAAATTAATGTGAAAGTATTTCACCCAATTTTGCAAAATAACTTCAAGAAAATGAAAATGGATATTCTTAAGTGTTTTAACAATTGCCCTAATAGATGTATAAAACATGTAATGAGGTTTTCCAAATGCTTTGTAAAATATCTCATAGTTAAAGGAGTTACAAGTCAAGTGGTTAAGAATTTTTCTATTTTCTCTTTACTATAGTAATTTTAAATCACAGGGCTACTACATGTCAATGGCATCAAACTTAGAATATAGGGCCACTAAAGGAAGAAATTAAGTCATCCATTAGTCTATTATCCAGAGTTAAGTACCATTCACATTTTGAAGTATTTACTGCCAATATATTTATGTACAATATGTTTTCTTTTTAACACAAATAGTGTCTTATATATCACCTCTGGCTCACCAGTTTAATTTAGTAATATACTGTGAACATAAATACTTTTGTGGCAGATGTCCTTAATTTTTTTCTGTAATATCATTTGTAACGTTTTCTTGGTAGTCAGATTTTCGCAGGTTTTGAAATTATAGAAAACTCTTAATAAACATTTCTTGGTATGTATCTTTATATAATAATCTGATTACTTTTTGGATGAAACTTCCTGAAGTAGCATTGCTAGATCAAAGGTTCACATACTTCGATTACCCCTGCATGGAGTATATAACACTGAACAGTTGTGCATTAGAATGTCTGTTGTATTTTACCTTCACAAAATTAGACATTATCTTCTTTTAATTTATGAAGAAATTTATGGCTAAAATAACAAAGTTATTTAAAATAATAAATAATAATAAATAAATAATATTTAAAATAATAAAAAGTTTACTTTTTGATTTTGCCATTTATGTATTCTGTATTTACTTTTATGTTTAGGAAGAATTTCCCTATCTTGAGGATATTTATACTACATATAAAATTCCTTAGATATTTAGATTTAGATCTTAAATCTAACTGAAGATTTTTTTAATATAATGGGTAAGTGAGAAATGTCACTTCACTTTAATCTTTAGGATATAATTTAAGAAAAATATAGTCTTTCATCTAAGAGTTGGATGTTACCTTAACTGGCATACTAAATTGTAATACAGATGAGGGTAACTTTTTTGAGTTTTTTCTTTTCTATTTATCTGGGTTTTTGTTTTTTCGTTGTTGTTGTTGTTGCTTTAATGTCACTATTTTTTTAAAACTCACATATTTATCATTTTAACATTTCTGGTAGGTTGAATTTCCCACTCTTACTAAATGCATTATTTTTTTCTATCCCTTTTCAACTAGCAAAAAATAGTCACATATAAAATTTGATAGAATTTCCATTTCATTTGTCATTAGAGAAATATACCCTAACAAATTTTAGTTTTCACATTTAGAAATCTCATTTGTCTTTAAAAATATTAGTAAGATCTTGTGGTTTTAAATGGTATATGTAGATTCTCTAAATGTTAATGTTTATTTATGAAAGATGATTGATACCACAGTATTGTTTTGCCACTATATCAACAATAAAGTAGGATAGTTAATTCTAGGATTTGTTTTCTAATTTGTAAGTAAAATTATATAAAACTTTCATTTGCTTTTTTCTCTTTTAAAATGATCGAAAAGTTTTTCATGTCTTAGTAACTTTTTGTTTCATTTTGTGTGAGAAGAGTTTTGAAATTCATTGACCAATTATAAAATAGAGTTGCTGGTCTTTTTCCTTGTCATTTTCTAAGCTCTTTACATAATTGAGCAATTAATAGAAGGTATGGAAGATAAATTTTCCTCCCAGCTTTTTAATTCAGTTATGGTGGTTTTTTGTTATATGAACATTTTTTTTTTTGCTTGTCTTTAAAATTTAACTTCAAGATTATAAATCAAATCACCCAGTGTTTTTTTTTTTTTTGTGCTGTTTTAAAAAATAGTTTATATTTAAGTCCTTGTGGAAATATTTTTTTCCTGAGTGTTGAGATAAGGTAAGAATTAAATTATTTTAGGCGATTATCCAAATTTCCCAGTTCCATTTCTTTTACAAACCATTTTTCCTTCCATTGGTTTGCAATACAATTTTATCATATACTAAATTTTCATACTGTTAAATATGTTTATAAACTTTTTTATTGATCTCTCTGCAGTTATAATTGGGGAGAAGAGTGAGTGAGGGGTAGAGCGAGAGAAAATGAATATTCAATTTTCATCCTGTTGTCTTTAGTATTTTTCATGGATTTTCAAGTATACAATTATGTGCATATGGCAACCGATTTCCCTCCTCTTTATCAGTTTTTCTCCTTTTTTTCTCATTAGTTAGTTCTTACCTACTATATTTGAAATTTTAAATAGTAGTGGGCATCTTTCTCTTTTGCATGATTTTATTGAGAATACCTTTACTGTTAACCTATGAAACATGATTCTGTTTTGGGACTGTGGTAGATATATTTTATTATGTAAAAATTATACAATTTCTGCACAATCTCGAAAACCCAATGTTTTTTCATAATTTAAATACAAAAAACTTGGGGTTGAAATTTGACCTCACATAATGTGAGACTTGTTATTTATTCAGTCTCATGATTATCACATATTTTATTGCAGAAATAAATGTTCATATGACTGATAGAAGAACACCTCCCTAGATCCACTGGTGATAGAATACATTACACAAGTATACAATACATGAAGGCCATTCCCTCTCTAAAATCCATAACCCAAAAGTTTTAAGTTGGGGACTTTGTAATTGCATTTCAATATTTCCCCATTAATAATCTTGAGTAAAATTGTCCTCTATTTTTTTCTTTGTAATCTTTAGTCTGTGTCAATAGTTTACTCCAGAAAAAATAATTCGCTTTTGTCTGAGTTTAAATATTACAATTATTTTTACTTTAAAGGTTTGATAAAATCTTTTAAGTTATAAAAATAAAACAGCTTTTTGAAAATTCAAATAAAGAGGTCAGTAAAAAGATCCATGAAGTGAAAAGCCAAGGGCCACTGCTACTACCTTCTTACTTCTACTCTTTAATTACTCTTCTGATCACTGGATCACTGTTAAAAATTTGCTGTGTATTCTTCCAGAACTTTCTTTATTCCACCTACAAAAATAACAAAAAAGGGTTTAAAAAATAAAAATAATCTAATTTGATTATTAGTGAGAATAATTTTTGCATTATTTTCCTGTATTAATCTTTAAATGATTAATGTATTAAAGGGATTTGCTCTTGTCTCTTCTCCCTTTAACTTTTTTACTTCCACACCTTAAAATTAATCATTGAATCATTATTAATGTTCAATTTCATGTCCACTTAACCCATTTCCGAGGAACATACAAGTTTACTACCTATTTAAAATTTTATGTTAATTTAAAATAAAAATGTTTTAAATATATATTACTTAAAAGTATAGTCTACTACATAGTCCTTGTCTATTTTACAGTGTATCATAACAAAAAGTATTAATAAGGTCTTTTTAAAGGTTGCACTATATTTCATTACTTTGAGTACAATTAGTTTTTCTCCCAACCTTTTACTCTAAAACTGTGAAAATTTAAAGCATGAATGCAGTACAACAAACAGGAGGTAGAACTGCTGACTTCAAGTTACACAAAAACTTTCATAGAAAAAGCATCTTCATAAAGTTGTTCCAACATTTAAAAAACTCCTTAGTATCTTTGCCAATTTGAGGTATTATCAGTCACAAAATCTTACTAGTACAACCCTGATATCTTATTGTTTTAACCCTTGTGAGGTTAAGCATGTGAATTTCTTTCATGCACCTTCTGCCCATTTTCTTCCCTGTGAAATTGATTTTCTTTCTCTTATTTGTTTCTAGGGATTCTTTATTAGGGATGGTAGCAATTCTATGTATCACATTTTTTTTAAAGATTTATTTATTTATTTATACAAGCACTGGGTACAGTCAGAAGTGCAGGAGGGTGAGAGAATTCACCAGAGCCAGAGCGAGGAGCAGAACAGGCAGACTGACAAAATACACTGCTGAGGGGAGCAGCGGGCGCTGCAGGCGAGGTCTGCATGCCATGTGGGACCCTTGCCGGCTGGCCGGGGATCGAACTGGAACTGCAGAGGCTGGGGGCATCTTCGCAGCCCAGCACTCAATCGCTGCACCACCAGGGAGGCCCTGTATCTCATATTTTTATCCTAATACTTTGACTAAGCATTAGACATCTATAAAGTTCTTTTTTTTTTTTTCTCACTCTTGTTTGTGCTTGACCATCTCTCTGTTATCTTTTTTCCCCATTTGTTCTTTTGGCTAGTCTATTTCCTGTTTTATTTGTATCACTACTAAAATAAAGCAGATAATGGATATGGAATTAAATATTTGAAGAGGGTTTAGAATTTCAGTTAACTTAGAAGGAGACGAAAACTCCTCACTTAATGTATTGGGAGGATTTTGTACTTGTTTCCTTTGTATTACAATTTTTCATGAAGTAACTTTTCCCTCAGAACCATGAATAATTACTATCTATATATCCAAGTGACGTATCGACTGATGAAATATAGAAAAAATGCAGTTTAGCCACTTGGATGCTCTAATGATCAAATATTTTGCTAGTCCAATGTATGGACAGTTTCCCAATATTTGAAATATTTATCTGACACTCCAAACTAGTTCTTCTTAAGGAAAACTTTCTATGCTTTTTTTTCATATAAAAACAAATAAAAAACCATAAGGATATTTCATTAATTTATATGGAAAGGCCAGGGGCTGAACTATAGTTAAAAATAACACAATGTTGAGGGAAGAAGAGAGTCTGGAAATGTCATATTTTTCAGGAAAACATTAGAATTGCTAACTCTTGCAAACATATAGAAGAGAGAGAAGCAAATGCTTAATAATATTTTTAAAACAATAAATTCCTACATGAACCCTATAACACTCCTACTCAAAAAGTTACCCTTATATATATCCATATACTCTGCCTAGTCTCTTAAATCTTTCCTTAATGTTTTCCTTTTATTCAGGCTAACTTGACAGTTTTTTCTTGGTACTAAACTAACTTAAATATGTTTTATGACTTGTCTATATTCTTTGATAACCAGCAGAAATCTGGTTTGAAGAATCATTGAGAACAGGAAATTTAAAACTATCTTTTCTGTTTTACATCATTAGAGAAAACTTTTAGTTAAAAGTATGTCTTTAAATTTATTCTCACATATTATGCTATGGAGAGTAAGGGAAGTCTATCATTTATCTTGGGAGATGACTATGTATTTCATAATGTTAAAAAATATTTATTTTGAAAGATAATTATATTTTCATTGGTAAACTACCTCTTCTGGGAAAACTATACATATATCATGTTTGTATCATATTCTTTTCCTTGCTCTTAAATAATCTCAGGACAAGGATGTTTATATTAGCCGAATATTGAGTTTTAAGATTAGATATGGGAAATTCTGTTGCTTTAAATTTTTATTTTATATTTTTAATGCCTTGTGCTCTTGGCAAGTTATAATTTAGGGAGAGCAAAATCAATCTTTGTATGTAAAAGGAAAGTATTTGACAGCCAAGATAATCAGCATTTATGCAAACTGAAAATTTTCAACATTTATGAAGATTCAAGAAATGTAGAAAGTGTTATGACTATTTACTTTAAAGCCTCTTGCCTCTACCTTGAAGAGTAGATTTTATCTTTTTTAATCTAAGAAAATAGTCTTATAGCTTAAAAAATAATTTACATTATAATGGGTAAATTAACTCATCAGATAGAGTGAGATAGAATTATCATATCTTGGAAATTTAAGAAACTGTTCTATCAATAGTTATATTCGTCTTAGTAAACACCTTCCCTATGTTCCCTGCTCTTCTACACTTGGTCACCTGTATCTATTTTCTAGGGTTGGCTTACAATGACAGTAAACAAGAATAAGGCTCAGTCTGCCCTCTCCATAAAATACTGCTGCCACAGGTGGTCACAAGGATTCTCCAAGGGTTCTTGATAAGCTTTTCTTTGATAATGATTGTACTTTACCTTTTTGGCACAAGTGACTAGTTAGTGGCATTCATTAATGAAAGTGATTGTGTGTCATAATGTTCTATTACAATGTGTGTTAGTCCTCCTAATAATTCTAATTCAGGTTCACTTCTTTAAAAAATAAAAACATTTGTATGGAAGTGGAAAGAGAGAACAGAAGTCATTGTTTTCTAGTGCTTCATGAACAAAAAGTCAGACTTACCTAATATACCTTGTTCGCTCAAGATAGAGTTACTAGAGATATGAACAAATTACTAACTAGTGAATTAATTGAACAGTTAAAGCCCAATCAGTCTCTTTTTTAGTACAAAAGGGTATCATTTGAAGAAAAATTTCTACACTGGTACACGATACAGGGTAATCTTGTGTGGCATCAAATTGAACATGACTAGTTTGAGATAGCTGATTATTTTATGGCGACATTAATTTTGGATATAGTAAAGGCTGTGATGTGAGGTAACTAGGGTGATGTGGCGGATGCATATGTAAAACATCTATTATCAATACATGGTCCAATGGGATTTAATTCTGTGAGTACTCTGTGTGTCCACATGAATTTTGAATGGTAAACATGGTTGTCTTTAACCTAAATGTGAAACCAAGCCAACCAGGGCCATCTAGGGAAGAGAGAGGTTCCAACAGGACCTGTTCAGACAGTTACTTCTGGAAAAGAAATCAGTCTTCAGTCAAAGACGTGCCTATCCTATTTTTGAAGATTGATTAGGTAGCTGTCTTCTTCCTTCCTTCCGTCCTTGGAGAAAATGAAAAATAACAGGTCCTCTTCCACTTTAGACTAACCATTCATATACTGGATGACAGTTAGGTCTCCCCTGAGTCTTCTCTTCTCCAGGACAAATTATGCTAACTCCTTCAGTCTGTCCTCGGAGGTCCTATTTTTCAGTCATTAAAACATCTTATTGTTCTTTCCTGTACCTTTTCCTGTTTCTTCCAAATCCTTTAAAAAATATAAAGTCTTAAGCTTGATGTTTTTGCATATACTTAGATAAGTTTGAATTACAGGAGGATGTTTATTTCCACCTGTAAGTCAGAGAGATGGCCACTAAACACTCGTCATGATTTGGAAAGAAGCCATTGGTCAGTCAGATGAGAGGGATAAAAAGCAGAAGATAATCCTGATGAACAGTTATATGCAACTTAAGAGATAAATATAATCAGAAATAGTAAAAACTATGCCTGCAAAAATGTCATGAGGCTTCTTAAGTTCTTTGGGAAGGTACCAATACATGGTCATTACCATAAAAACAACCAGAGCTGCTTTAAAAAAAGCAAAAACAAAACCTGATCCTTCTCTTCACTGCTTTTAATTCTACAAAGGACTAATGGGTGAGCTAACGTAATGTCAAAATCGGTACAAAAAATGTGTAATTGAGGGAGCCGAGCACGGAGAACTTATGGGAAGAGCTAGAGATCCATTTGAATTAGAATAACCTCAGCTTAATTGGAACTTAGAACTGCTTTTTGCAAGCAGGTATTCACTGTACTTGTGAACTGTGACTCAGTGAAGGTTCATTGTTTGGTAGTACATGGCCACTAGGACAAGAGTGATATTGACTTCTCTGGTAGACTGTTCTGCACTTACGATACTACGTTGTCTCCTTTGCAGTATCACTTTGATTTTGGGTGATTAGTATATGATAGTATTTCAATGTCTCCATTCCATGAGGGCCAAAGAGAAACCCATAATCTTAATAATCAAGTTCCCCTCGGCGGCAATTATTATGAGAGCAAGTTCCCAGGGTAGTAAAACCTAGAAGAAAAGCACTAAACTTTCTATTCTTTCTTGCTTCAAGTTAAGTGTATCAATAATTGAATTTGTATTCATTGGATAACTTTAAACCTAAAGGCTTATCTATGCCCAAAGCAAAATACCTGGCATTTATCCTTCTCTCTAATCTGGGTTATGTACTATGAAATGGGGTGAAATGCTTCAGAGCCTCCACAAGAGAGATTCCAGTCACTACAAAATATGGTACTGTGTTGTTCTTTCTAATATTCTTCTTATAAATCAACAGTAAATAATAGGGATCACAACAAAGTCAGCTTAGAAGAGCTTTAATTCCCCAGATGGAAAGCTTTATGATTCACCCATTGCTGGTTTATTTTCACTCTTAAGTTGGGATAAAAATACAAATCGGCTATGCCCCTATTGAAAGCTACAGGCAGATGTTATAGGGCTCTTGCATCGAATGGTGTGCAGTGGTGAAGTATTTGTATTTGGCACTAACCCCTCTTTGAAAGCTAATGCAGTGTGGTCTTACCATTTTTGCAGACAGGACAACATTGCTCTGGTTCATAGACTGGGTTGACACACTCAGGAACTGCGCAGTCTGCTACAACACAGTGAACTTCATTGCTGGGCTCACAGCGACACCATTCACATGGAGAGGGCTAGGAACAAATCTAAAATTAGCCCCTTTTCTCCTATAACTTAATGCTTGCACATTTATATGCTGTCAGAAGACAAAACACCAGTGTTTATTTTGGCTTTACTATATTAACTCCGTTTACCGTGTGCATCGTGGTTCTTCATACAAGGCAGCCTGGACACCCTCGCCAGGGTGGGCTGCCAGGGAGAGTGCAACCCGAGGCTCATATATGACCTTCCCTATGTCTCCTGTCCATTTTTCCAAAGAAACGTTTGGACAACTAATATGTCACCTCCTGGGTTTTCTTCCCCCAGGTGAACTGATAGTTCTGTCAGGAACAATCTGGTAAACAGGAATGCTACTGGAACATGTGAAATACATTTTTGCCATTTGTCATTTTTCTTCCAATGAAAGGAAAAGATCACTGAGAGATAGGAAAATGGTGAGAGGGCATCCTTACCCTTTGAATGAACTTTTTTTCAAGCTAACCTTAGATTTTAAATGGCATTTTTTTCAGTGAGAGGAGATGGATTTGTGATCCAAACATCCCGATATTGCTTCTTGAAAGGCTTAGTGACTACCTTTCATCTTGCTTCCTTGTGTTTATGAACTGAAATTGACTTAAATAGCCACTACTTAAGAGTCAAAGACTAAAAATAGAATTGAAAGGTGACTAATTCAGAAGCAAAAGTAAAAAAGCAGAAAACAATCTGTCCTCATGATACTTACCGACCAAGATAATTCTGGGATTTTTCTGTTCTTTTTCTTTCCTAGAAACAGTCTGCACCACAAATAATCTCATCCTTTGAAAGTCCTAGCTCTCCTTTCTCATAAAACAGATTTTGAATTCTGGAAAAAACTTGGAGGTCTCAGAAATTGTACAAGTGAGATGCTATGCATGGAACTTATGAGACCTTGTATAACACTGGCCTCCAGTGGTTTCTCAAATCAAGCCATTAGTTCCAGAAAATTCTGCCTCCCACCAAATACCCCAATGCCACATTGCTCACTTCCAAATTATGTTAAATAAAGCCCCCTGCCTTTGTGCCAGTGGCTACTATCTATAATTCCAGTCAGCTCTTGTTTCTTCCTGACACTGACAATTTGGGTTCCTTGATGCAGGTAGTCTGTGGGGGTGGAAACCTTTCAACTAATTACTTTAAAGTTCATTTTATCTTTGATTTCTGCTGAAGAATGATAATCTAGCTTTCAATGATTGATTTTACTTTCAACTGTGTTAGAAAGAAGAGAATGTGCCATAGAATCTGTGGAGAAACTATTGCTATTTCTTACTTGGAGAGGTACAATTAACCTCTCTATGTGGTGAGTTGGGTTTCTGCATTTCAGACTATAGGATCATCAACACCAAGGGTTGGTGTTTTTCCTGAAACTCCTACATAGAGTAATCTCACTTAACTAACAAAAAGATTTGATACCACAGCACACTGTTTGATGGAGGAGATTTTGAATGATGAACAGTGAGAGAGATCAAATTCTTGCTGCTCTACTGCTCCTTATACTTGCAAGCCCCATTGTAGTATCTTGAATACCAAGCAAAATTGTCAGTTTGTCCCCCTTTCCTAGGTTAATTGCAGAGTATTTCTGCACAGCTTTCTGTGGTACAGAAAGGACTTGGCCTGCATTTATTGCCAACGTGAGTGAAAAGGGAAGCTGTTAATGTAATCGCTCTCACACCCTGCCCTTCAACAGCTGTGACTGTTCTTGCTGCTTTCCTTCTTGCCAAAGGAGGGCCTGATAATTCCTGTCAGCTCCTGCGTACAACTCTAGCAAACTGATGCTGCCATTAAAAATGCTGGAGACCTTAAATTTTCCAATGGAAAATATTTACTTTAAAAGAATTGTGGTCCTTTGCTGAACTCTTAGATTCTCAGCACAGATGGATGAAAACATCAGGGTCATCCAGTGGGCATCATGGGGAAAAATTTACCTGTATCAGTTTGCTTGTCCCTTGCAATAACTCCATGAAGGAAGATTTATTATTATTTCCATGTCACAGATGAGGAAATAGGCTGAGAGAGGACCCAATAGCTTTTCCAGGTCCTATAGGCAGGAAGGGGCAGTGGTGGGATTTAAATGCAGGCAGCTTAACCACTATACCATATTGCCACGTGACAGGAAGAAGCACTGTTTGTTCCCTTCCATCTGAGTAGTTTATTTTTCAAGGCTTGGTATACTTCTATATGCAGGACATAGCCAGAGGAATGAGATTAACAGAATAAGTGATTTTGAAGATGGCAGGCACTTCCTTGCTAAGGAAGGAGATTTTATTGACTAGGTCATTTGGTGCACAGAGATGATTATGGAGCTGTAGCCAAAACTCTAGTAGTCAGAGTTAGGTTGTTACCAGGAGACCTTAGTTACCCTTAAAACTTAGAGTCTGGTAACTATATGTGTAGGCATCTGGGAGAAGCACTAGGAGGTGATGCTTTGCTAAAGACCACCAGGCCTCTGACTGAGGCTGGGGGACAATGGACACCTGTGTACTGAAATCCTGAGAAATACTCCTAAGAGCTAAGCCCACAAGTCTTAGTGATTAAAGAATATATGATTTTTGAAGGTATTTGAAGAGAAATATAAATTAGAAAAATAAACATAGTACGCTAGCTGATATATAAATATCAGGCACAAGTCTTGACGATTAAAGAATACATGATTTTTGAAGGGATTTGAAAAGAAATATAAATTAGAAAAATAAACATAGTACACTAGCTATCAGCCTCTTCTAAACCTTCCCTTTTCCCCTCCATGGCCTAGAAACCCTTCAGACATATATCTCCTTTGTGTTCATCAAACTATTTTTCCCAAATCTTTTTTTAGTTCATTTCTTTTCCTCTCCGGTCCATGTGCCTCTTCCACTCTAAACATTCAATCAAATTTAATTTATTGTCCTCATGATAAATGCCCCTCTGTCCTTGTCCTTTCATCTGCTCACCAGACACCCTGCTTGTTCCCTGGCCCAGCTTCACTTTCACCACTGCCCTGGCTTTCTCCTGCACTTCTGAAAAGACATTGCTTCAATGGTGAGAAGTTTCTGGAAGAATCAGTGTGCTATTTTGACAGTTAAGTCCAGACATTTAAAATCTGTCCCTCCTTATAGCATAAAATTCTGAAAGGTTTGGTGATTTGAATAAATCTTTACATCTTAAGCAGTGAGCTGGTTACAAATTTCCTTTTATCAGACCATTCAATGTGAATACTATAGATTAAATCTGAAAATGTCCTTGTAAAACCAAAGATTAAACAATAAAGCTATCCTTAGAGGAACAGCATACTGGAACCAAGTACTGAAGAAAATATATTCTCACTACCTTTTTTTAGAGGAACATGTGAAGTTATTACTAGGCTATGGCTTTGTCAGCTAGAGATTTGGTAAAATGATCAAATGACAATACCCTAAATTTTTTTTTTTACAAGAAAACACTTATTCTAAGAAAACTCAGTATTTCATTTCTATAAAAGCTCTGTAAAATAACATTCACTATAAATATCTTTACTTAATATTATGATTAGCGGTCAAATTTATTTGCTAACATATCTACTAGATGATCTCAGTATTATGTCTGTTATAAATCTGTTGCATCTTCTGCTGAGAGTTTTTGAATAGTCACTGTAGAACTCTGTTTCAGTAGAGGCTGTGTATATTATCTGTAGTTTCTGCCAAATCCAAATTTTCCAGCTGTCTCTAAATCTTAAAGGGGATACCTGAGATAAATGTAGCCACAGTTAGATATATAAATATCAGGAATAATTAATAGAATAAGCTTATTATATTATTTTATAATAAATTAATTTATAAATAATAACATAAGTATTTCATAGATTAAATGGGGTTTCTTTCTTAAATATTGGTTTAAGTGACTAGAATCTAAGGTGTCCTCATCGGTAGCTGTATGGCAACTTGGCAGTACCCAGTGCTTTCAAAATGGTTAACTTCTAATGATCTTAATGCTGAAATCCCAATGTTACTGCCTGTGATTTTTGAGAATTGGTGGGAATGGCGGGGGGAGTTACCTAAGTCTTAGAAACAATGGAACACACCATGATTTTTTTTTTTTTCCAATGAGATAAGCAGCCTGAAAATGTGTAGCTTGGATGGCTGAAATAACTGAATAGATACAGAAAAACTGCTATAGTTGTTCTTTGTGAAAATCTGGAAGCCAGTGTGGTTAGACACTACATAGGTTATTAGGACACATAATTGCAGATTGGTTGTATAGAATTTTCCATATATTATAGAAAATAGATGTTTATTTGTATTCTGAATACACGGAGACTTATCCATACTCAAGGGAAGCTCGGGTGCTTGGTCCACATAACAATACCTCGTGGCATCATTACTTATTTGGTGGCTCTTATGGCCTTTGTTGAGATGTCAGGAGGAAATAGTCACCATCTTGAGATGTGCTATGTGTACTTAGACAGACACAGTTTACTGTTTTAACTTGGTGAAGTTGAAGATGATAATCTTATAGGCTGAGAGGCTGTACCCTAAGAAATTAGAAAAAAAATTTAGTTGGATTTGTTTGCATCACTGAGGTATCAGGATTAAAAGCAAGTTCTCTGTCATCACAGTATTTAAATTCTAGTCCCAGGTGATTTACTTACTAATTGTGAATCCTGGGGAAAATACCTTACCATTCTGTGTCTTAATCTATAAAATGGGACTAAGAATATTACCAACCTTAGAGTCGCTATAAGGCATGTAAACATTGTTGTTCACTTGCATACTTGGCTAGTTATGGCCTAGAAAACATTCAAAAAGGTATAAAATTGGAAATACAAAATTACATTGAAAAGACTATTTAGATGATAACTGGTTCAGAATGAAATCTGGGCTCAGTGGTGGTTGCCATAAAGTTACAGAATTTGGCTTGGGGGGGATTTGTGAACTAATAGAATTAATCATAATTATATATAATTAAATTATATTAATATTATATATGAATATTAAACATTGAAATACAAATTATATTAGAGTTAATCATAATTATCTATGATTAA